AGCAGTGGTGAGGCCCTGGGGTGGGAGTAGAGGAGAAAAGGCCAACTGAGCCCAATGCCATGGGTGCTCCTCCTCCTCTGAGCTAGCAACAACACACCTTGCACTCTTGCTAGCCCAGAATCCCTCCAGAGCACACACGCTTGCAGCCTCCCCAAGAGAAACGTGCTCTGAGGCAGATGGGCAGGGGGGAGAGGAGAACCCCTTTCTTTTTCCTGATCTGTGCACAGTGACCATGGCTCTCATACTCTTGGGTGGCGAGGATGAGCATGTCCACCCGAGTCTACAAGCTGTCAGTTTATGACCTTCATAAAGCAAAGCATGATGCCGAGTCAATGCGTTCGCGGTCTCACCTTCAGCCAAAAAAACGTGGAGCAGCACATTCAGCAGAGACAAGACGCTGAGTCCAGCAGTCCGAGACCATTGCTGCTCCTCAACAGACCCTCCAAAGCATACACCCTCCTAAGCTGGACCGGGTCCCCTGGACACAAGCCTTTGTCGTCTCCAACGCCACAAAATAGAGACCACGTTTTACTGCCAACATCTGGCATTTCAAATGCCCTTGGAATAGATAACATCTGGATTGAATTCTCCTGCCATTCTTCCAGGGCCTTCCCATTTAATAAATAATAATGGTTTATTACTCTGCTGTACCATTTCATAATCCTTTTCTCGGCAAGAATGGAAAAGTGTCTGGAAAAACAAACCCAGGAAGCACGTTCAAGAAAGTGACACCAAGAGCAGATGACAGAAGAGCAGCCACTTGCCAGCTCTATGGGCCATGGATTCAAACCTCTGCATATGAGCCAGGCAAGTGCACCTTTTAATGGAGCCAAAGCCATTCAGGCCAGGTCGCTCGGGCTGAGCAGCCCCTGGATCTCTCCCCTCTCCGCACACGTGCTCCCAGGGCTGTGCACGGGCCGCTCCAGAAGTCCTCTGCCGTTTCCTTTGCTGGGCGACTTTTAATACATCCAAGCGTGCAATTTGGTTGCCACGGCAACGGGAGGTGCCAAGCCGTTCCAAATGGGTTTGGGCAGCAATGAACTGTAACGAGCACTAAAATCAAGTCCTCCCTCACCTGCGTGTCGGCCTCGCCCACGCAGGCTTCGGCACCTTTGGAGAGGGGCCATCTCAGGCTGTGTGCAGCACAATGGGGCTCTTATCTTGGCTGGGCCCAGGGTACTGTCATTGCCCTCTCTCCCTGCTTCTGCACCAGGCACTTCCCAGAGAGGCAGCGGATCCCCAGCACAGACAGACAAGGAGGGAGACAGGCGGTAAGCTGCCTCTGTCCTCTGCGATGCCGATGAGTCCACACAAGCTCACAGATTCATATGGTTCAAGGCCAAGGACGACCACATTGCTCATCTAGCCTGGCCTCTTGCTTTACATGCAGCCCATGGGGTCTCACCCCGGAGAACTTCTGTAGGGAGCTGTTCTTCCCCAAACTCTGCTGGGGAACCAGACCTGGCACATATTGACTAGGGAGACGCCAGCCCCAGGGCAGGTGTTTCCCCAGTGCCAGGGGCTTTCGCAGAGGTCAAGTACTATTCTGCATGAGGCATGAAGTTGCTCTTGTCCCAGCTGGAGGTATGCCTAGACGCAGGTAAGAGATGGGTCCTGGATCAGAGGCCTGGCGTGATGCAGAAGCTTGGCTTTGAGCCAGTCTCCCTTCTGCATTTCTACCTGCCATCATTCAGACTGCCAACTCTTTGGGGCGAGAAATCTCCCTCCAGGCTGTATCTGCTAGACAGCCCTGAACTGCGTGGGACTGAAAAGCCCAAAGACTGGCTTTGCTTGGCCTGGAAACTTGGCACTACCCCAGGTCAGCCCTGTGCCAGGAGTGTCAGCTACACTACCTTCACCTTGGTGTAGCGGTGTGAGGAGCAGCCTGTCATGGGTATGGTTGGGCAGCCCAGCACTGTGCTTCCCGCAGGGCCAGGTTGGTGGGCACGTGGACAGGACTTCTTGGGTCTCAGCTCTTCAGCCTGGCTCCAAACAGAAGCCAGTGAAACATGAATTTAATGTCCTGAGTTGCTGAAATAAACTGCACTTTCCACAGAAGCCCAGAGCCAGAGCCAGCTTGCCCAACAGCCCAGGGCACAGACGGTGACTCCCCAGGACAGCGCTGCCTTGCTTGCTCTGGCTCAAATCCTGTTCATTTTTAAAAGGGAGTCTTGATGCCAGGAAAGACACTTTGCACAGACCGCGGCTGCAGATGTGAGGTTTCTGGGTAACTCAGACCACCCAGCAGTCTGAATCACCCCTCTGATACAAGGGAACAGACCGGTGCTCTCTTGAGTGATGCTGGGGGAACAGGATGACAGCAAACACACCACATCTTGCACTTAATGGTGGCTTCAAGTAGTTTCCTCAACAAACAATGAGGAGCTGCTTTGCAGGTAGAGTGGTGCTGTTGGACACCCTCTGCTTGCACCGGGAGAAAAAGAACCACAGGAAAAGCAACAGCAAAAGGTCAGTGTGGCCCTGGCAAACGTGACGGAGGCTACAAATGCTGAATGCAGGCAGGGGCCCGCTCAGCTGTCTTCCCAACTCTGGGTCTTCCCAGCCTCTCGGGAGGAAGAAGCTGTGACCCCAGGGACCATCAGTCCAATTCTCCCCCCTGTGCAAGAGAAGGAAACACATGCTGCTGACTCTGCCCTGGCCTGGGCTCTGCGTGGTCCGTGTGCCACTGCTGGGCCAAAGCACTCTCGTTTCCCAGTCTTTGCCCTCCCATGGCCCGGGTCAGGCGCTGGAAGGTGCCATCCTCTTGCAATGCCTGGATGGCAGCCGCATTAATACTTGTTACACTGAACAGAGCCAGGAAGGCTCCCTCCCCCTCGCTGTCCCATTCTGTTTAGCTAGACTGTTTCTGAAAAACGTCATTAAATCCAGACCCCATTGAGCAGCAGCATGTGGATTTTCCCACTGTCTAAACAACTCCCAAGCTCAACTATCTCTGTGCAAATCTAATTTCCTGTTCCCCACAACACAGCCACGCTGAGCTCCCGGAGGTTGTGGAAAAGGCACCGTGCTCTTTCAACCCCAGCCGGAACGTGATGTGCTCCCTTCAGCTCCACATCCGTGTGCGGCCCCGGGCCAGGGGGCCCTGCAGGGGCTCTGTAGGAAGCTGGGCGATGGCCCTCCTTGACACCTCCAGGATTTCCCACCTCGTGGCTTCAAAAGGAAGGTTTGTTTTCTTTGCAACTGTGGCTGCTGGTTCAGGAGAGGAAAGGCAGCAATGAAACCTTCCGACTCGGAGACCCCCATATCTTAGGGCACTTGTACATGTTACGAGAATCAGTCCTCCTCCTCCTCTGCCCTGCAAGGTGGGCTATAAGACAAAGGTGCTGAATAGCAGACAGCCCCTGGGCACAGCGATTCAGCCAGGGAGCAAAGGAGCATCCCGTGCCATGGAATCTGGCCTGGCTATGGGGGCGAGCATGCCTGAGGTCTGGAGCCTGATGGATCTGCCATGACCATGAGTGGGCATTGGTGGTGTTGTGTCTCCCTCCAAGGCTGCGCAGCCAGCAGCAGTCTGCCCCTAAAACAGAGCGGGGCACTGGCATAGGGCTGACTCGGAGGGGAAGATTGCCACCTCCTGGCCACCCAGAGAAGCTGAGTTTTAACCCTTGGAAAACAAGCAAAGGTAGCACATCTCACGAAAAGCCATGGCTGCATCCCCCACTCCCTTGCCTTGCTCTGTTGTTCCTTCCTGTGCAAAGTCTAACCTAGAGGAGGGGTCTTTTCTAATGGGCAAGACCCCAAGCACGCTAGTGAGGCTGTAGAAGACAGATTAATTCTTCTGACCTGGGCTAACGTCCTAGCTAACACAATCTCACAGGAGTTACAATGGACAAAACTCATCCCAGAATTGTGATGGGCAGAAATGCAGCCTTACCACCAAGTGTAGTGTTAGAAATGGGCACTCGGGAACAGGGTAGGATCCAGCTGCCACAGACAATGATCACAGCTTGAACAATGCATCCCTGCTGCACGGTTATCAGTTAATGTGTCATGGGAGCAAACAGTAGCCTGCTGCAAGGACTGCCTTGGGTACTCAATGTGTGAACTGCAGGACTGGTCCACTTACACACACATCTTCCTTCTCTCTCATGACCAGACTGTCTAAGCTTCCAAAACTATTCTGCCCCAGACCAGTTTTGATTCTGCACCACGCCTTTGTGATTCAACTAGCTTCAGCAATAGGCCTGCAATGGACTTTTCTGGGAACACGGGGAATGCACGATTCTAGCCTAAAATCCGCCAGGATGCAATCACGTTCTTTGGTGCCTGCCCAGTTCTCGTAACAATAGTTTTCAAGGTTTTCTTAAACTAAAGAACCTTTGACCCAGCTTGTGTCAAGCAAAAGCAGGATTCCCAAGGCCAAAGGTTAATGGGCCTGGAAATGATCGTATGTTTATCAGCAAAATAAACGAGGAATAATGTTAGAGCAAATGCCAATCTGTTCCCACCGGCTCTGGTTCCTAAGAAAACACAATGAAATTCACACTCAGGGCAGTAACAGCCTGGAAAGGGAATATTTTCACAAGCCTGGGGGGGAGGCTCTGTAGCAGTTTCATGCTGTCCTACTGCCTGGCAGTTCCTGATAATTAGAGAGGCGCATTTTCTGCTTCTTAACCCTGACAAAGAGACTTATCCCCTAATCCTGCTCCCACTGGAGTTAACATGGCAAAACCCCCTGTGACACCAGCTGCAGAGGCTCAGCCCTTCAGAGCAAGCAGGGAGCCAGCAGCACTCTGGGAGATGTCAAAGCTGTGGGTTCATCACTGGATGCAGCCACCTTTGGGCTTCTAATGATTCCCACATGGCAGGAGTTGCCCAGACAGCGCTGGGCAGGTACCTGATAAGGATTCGTTTCCAAGAGGCTCCATCTGTTTCCACTTAACTGTGTTTGACACATCTTTCTATGCGCTCCACAAGATAACGTAGTCAAAGACCCTGAAAACACCCTTATTGAATCCATATGGCAAGTCACATGGCAAGCTGCAAACTGTGGAGTTGCTAAGCAGGGTGAACTCTTGGAGAAAGCAGCAAAGATCTGTCATGCAAAGGTATCTGGGAGTGTCAAGGATGCGGTTCAGAATCCCGTGCTGCGCTGGCAGAGCCTTTTCCCCCCCCCCTGCAAAGAGGCAAGTCCTGCTTTCCGCTGGGGGATGTGGACAGAGTGCGGGAGGGGAAGCATCCTTGGGAGAAGGTCCTGGAAGTGGAAAGCTTCCTGCACAGGAACACAGTCATTGCAAAATGGGTCAGAGCCAGGAAGCCCATGAGTCCAAAAGCCTGCCTGCAGCAGAGGCCAGAGGCCAATTATCACATGAAGGTGCACAAAAGCCCAGTGGGATCACCAGTCCCCTGGGCTGGTATCACCCGAACCCCAGAGAATCAGAGGTTTGCAGTAGCCATGGAGCAGGAGGGTTTGATGTGTTCTAGCAGGCAGAAAGCTGCCCGCACATCTGTGTTTGGGCGGGGTGCGATTTAGCATTTAGCCCATAACAACTCTGCTTCTCTGGATACTCATGGTCTTTGAATCTCCAAACCCTGCTAGTCCTTTTCACCAAACCCTTTTCTCTCAGCTCTCCACAGAGCCCAGGGAGGGACTGTTTCCCTTGGGAGGTGTTTGATAAAAAGACGCCATGCAAATAAATCAATGAAGAAATAAACATTGGTGTATTTGTGTTTGTCACAGCCGTGCATGTTCTGGATTACCTGCTCATGTCAGCAGTCTCCTCAGTTCACTGGGTAAACGTGGAGACTTCCTACTAAACAGAACAGTTTTCCTCTTGGCAACAGGAACCCATGGAGCCTGCAGTGCATCTCTCAGTCCCTATGAGGTGGTGGGGGCACTAGATACCAATGTCCCCATACTGAAATATGTCCCAAAACACCAGCAAAAAAAACCACCTTGGGGATGGGAAGCACCTGCCTGACCTGAGTGGTGCAGAGTGCCCCTGAAAGGGCCAGTCACTCAAGAAATTATGGCCAACAGAGATGGGGAGTGATGAAATGTCCCACGGTAATTTAAACGAGGGGAAGGCTGGGGACAGCAGAGCCATGAAATGCCTCTGTCGAGCCTGATACTTGGACTCCCAGGCCACGTCTAGACGATCACAGCGGTGTGGTACGTGGTCACAGACCTGCCTGCAGTGCCACGCACCACACATTCAGGTGTTCCCTGCGCTGCTACTTTGCAGTGGGGGAGGAAGGGAGGAGCAGGGGGAGGTGTGACCCTGCAAGATCTCAGGGTCAAGATCCCAATGTGGAAAAATGTGGGGTAGCGCATGTGGGGGCAGCATGCACTGCCCAAAACTGGAGCCTGCCCTCGGTAGCCATGCTCTGGCTGCTGGCCAGGCTCCCTGGCCCCTAGGGAAGGCTGCTGGGGTCAGCATAGCTGCTGGCCCCGGCCTCCCCTCCCCTCCCCAGGGCAACCTGCGGTGTGCCATTGTATCCATGGCACGGGCGTTCCCTGGGGACAAGGCAGTGGTACGAGGTGTGCTGCTGCTCCTCGTCCCCAGGGAACCAAACATCCGTGCGCACCTGGACGCAGCCCCAGCAGAGTAAGGTGCTGCCCATAGCTCAGCACCACACTCCTGCAGCCCCAGCAGGATGTCTCCTTCCTGGGGTCAGGGTGCCAGTGCGTTACTAACACATGCAACCCCCACTTCTCTGGGCACAGGATTAAGTGGGACAGCGTTGAGGACACCGGGATGCAGCATGGTGCCCCAAGGCAGCGTATGCGGACAGCGGCAGAGCCGGGGGAGGCGAAGGCACTGCAAGCTGTGCTTGCTCATCCCCTGCTGCAACAGCGCAGAACACACATGTGCAACAGGAGCACCGTGTGCCTCAAGCCGGGATGCCGGGCAGTTTGCCCACAGCTTGACAGAGGCAGCGGAGCAGCTGCTGGGGGGGCCCGCACCCCCGTGTCCCTTGTGCTGTGCCAAGGGGGGTCACCGCGCTCCTGCTACCCTGCGCCACGCCACATTGCACGCAACAGAAGCAGGCCGTGAGGGGGCCGCCATGCACGGGCCCACTCTTGCAGCTGCACTGCCCAGCCTAGCGTGGCCAGATCTTAAATACCAAACAATTGTATCAAAAGCTCAAAAAATGATTGTAATTTGCTGGGGGGGAAAAGTACCGTACCCTGAAAAATATGCAAAACAAGTCTTTTTCTGTAGGCCGCTCATGGTAAGCGAGCGAGCCAGAACCGGGCTATCCAAACCGAACCATTTATCTGGAGGTCCTGAGAAAGCAAAGCTGAGAGCCCCTGAGAGGGGCTCGTGGGGGTTGCAGATGCTGCAACCACAACTGGGCACTCGAGGGGACGGGCTCAAAGCCCCGCCCCGCACCGCCGCCCCGCCCCACCCCACCCCACCCCACTGACGCATGCGCACAGCGCGGCTCTGATGACGCCTCCCTCCGGGTGGGTGACGGCGCGTTTGCGACAGCCGTTAGGGGGACGGTCCGTCCCCGTGCCCGTAAGCCCGCGCCATGAGGCCGCAGCCGGCGCCCGTGTCAGGGAAGGTGTTCGTGCAGCGCGACTACAGCAGCGGCACCCGCTGCCAGTTCCAGACCAAGTTCCCGGCCGAGCTGGAGACGCGGGTAAGGCCGGGCCGGGGGCTGTCACCCGGGAGCTGTTATGGCGGGTGTAAAAGCTGTTATGGCGGCTTAAAATGGGACCGCCTTAAGCCCCCCCGGCACGTTTGGGTCATGTAAAGTAATTGCCAAGTTGGTCATATGCAGTAATGGTAGTGGTGTGCGTGTCGCGGGTCGGAGGACGCCGCCAAGTTGCCTGTCGCTTCCTGCTCGCTCCTCCTGGAAAACAGCGTGTTTCACGAATGAGTGGTTCGTGCCAAGCACTTGCTTATTAAAGACATATATAATTAAAGCCACGCCGTGTGGGAGTGCCCCTGTTACAAAGCATGACGAAAGCCACCAGATCGACCCTTGGCCTCCGGCTCCAGTCGCCCCCAAGGTCCCCGCTCTCAGCGTTTCTGTGCTCACGCCGGGGTGGCACGAATGCCAGCCGAGAGCCCGGGTGTTAAAGCTCCTGCGGTACGAGCTAAGGGCTGTGTCCTGCACCCCGGGCACCTACAGCGTCTGGGGACACAGGTGTGTCGGAGCGTGCAAGGCCACGCCGCGCTTCTTTGATGCAAGTGGCTTGGGAGGCTCGGTCTGTCTGACAGCGGTGAGATGAAATAGTCCCCGTCTAAATGGCCCAGAGCAGATGGTTGTCCTCCTGTGTTTACTTGACGCTGTTGTTTTGAGTGAGCAAGGCGAGTAGTCTTGTTCCCCCTACCTGTTGGGTAGCATTGCTTTCCTGGGGGACAAAAGTCTGCAAAATGATTAGTTGTCTTCAAATTGACCTAAACTGATCTTTGGGATTTTAGCTGAAAGGGACATTTTGTAGTTAAATAAAGGGTAGGTTCCTGTGGGTAGGGAAGTAGAAATGCCCTCCACACTCTTGCTTCTTGCCTGTGCAAACAGTAATTAGAAAATACCGAACTTTGAATGTGATGTAGAAATGTAGACATACAAATGTGCCTACAAGTCTAACTTCCAGCAATTATGAAACCCTTCTGTTTTGATTCTCTCTCTGATCTGTGCCCTTGTCACAACAGAAAGGGCAGCCGGGGCACTGAGAAATAAGGCACGTATTGTTGTATAGAAACCCATCCTCTAACAAGGCCGTTCTGTTGAGCCTACGCTTCAGCAGCATCACAAACACCCTCTTATATTTTCTATCAATGTGCGGGTTTTTGTTGTTATTTGCAACACTTCCTTCAACTAGTGGAGTAACTCCTCCTGGTCAAATATTTTGTGCGTTTCTTGTTGTTGGCAAATATTACTTAGGCTACGTTTGCCTTCTTTTTCACATCAAATTTGATACATCTTTGTTTATATCACTCACAAGCTTGATTGGCACTGGAGCAACAATCCCCCATACTTGAGGCCTTATTCAGATAGAGAAGATTTGCCTACATGCTCTTTCATTGAATAGTGGTTTAAATCCCGAATCTGTTTCCCTCCGATCTGTTCTTTTTACATCAGACCCCAATTCTTATCTGTGCTCGCTTGCAGGCACAGCATTTCAGTTGTGGTAGAATTCATTCTTGATGTAATTGCTTAGCTGAAAATTGAACAAGAGCTGCCGTTTTTGGAGGCTGTTTTATATTAAACGGAGCTGTGGCTCTCTCCACAGTGCCTGTTTGAAGCAAATGGTCTCTTGGTGGCAGTGTAGGTTACAGCTGTAAAAGGTACAAGTCAGGTGGATGTCTGTACAGGAGGTCAGTGGAGCTCACTTGCTGAGCATGCTTGCTGAACTTGGACTTTTCTGCAGATCGATCGGCAGCAGTTTGAAGAGACTGTGCGAACTCTGAATAACCTATATGCAGAAGCCGAGAAACTTGGGGGCCAATCTTATCTCGAAGGTTGTCTGGCCTGCCTGACTGCCTACACTATCTTCTTGTGCATGGAGACACATTATGAAAAGGTAAGCCAGTTTGATTTGCTTTATGACCTGAAAGACAACACTCAACACTACATTAATCGAAGACTTACTTCATTTACAGTGATGAGTAGCACAGTGAAGTCTCTAGTACAAAGTTGAAATAAACTCTCATGCCAGACCAACTTCCTGAAATTCCTTGTGTGTCAGATCTGCTCCCCTCTTGCTCAACTGTGTTACGTATGAAATAGATTCTGTTTGACTCTCTCCACATAAATGGCGGATTTCATGTTGTGATCATTTTTCCATTTTATTCACTTTTTATCTAAATACACAGTGTCACACTGAAACTCTCACCTGACAGTTCACTCATGAAAACTTATGTTTGATTAAACAGACCTGGCCTATGGTGTCCCTTGCACAGGCTGGGTGATTTGCAGGAATTCTTTATGGGGAATCAGTCATGCAGTCATTTTGTGAGACTCGTAATGGACTGCGGTGAGGGAGAGGGCATCTCCAGTTTCCCTTCCTGGGGGCTTGGTGGAGATGCAAATGGGATCTGAGCTGGATATCTGTCTGGCTTGCTTGCTTCCATTTATTCTTTGAAGAAAGTGGAGATGTGCCCAATTCAGAGATAAGAAACCAAAGACTTTGGATAGAAAAAGCTTCCTGAGCTGAGAAGTTGGGAGGGGTTCTTACTAGTCTGAAAGAATAGTGTTCAGTGTGGGCAAGACCTGGGAAGCTTCATTCCACTAATTCTAGTACAAAAAGTCACTCAGTCAAGGCCAGTGCAGGGGCTGTATTGGATCCCTAGTCACAGAACACATGTAGTCTGTTCACTTAAAACCAAGATACTTATGTGTACATATATCATCTACATTTCCAGCACAGGATTGAAGATAAGGCTTCACAGCATCAGAAACCCTGCTATCAGTTATATTCTGTAAAAATCTATATTAACATGTCATCAGTGAAAGACTCAGTCTTAGCTTGGTAAGCGCAATGCAGGTGCCTTCTGGAAGGTGTGCTTTAGTCATGTGCAGCTTACTGGGCTCATTACAGCGGGCGCTCCAAGTACTACCGCCCCATCCATGACAAAGTCGAGTAGAGTCATTATAGCCCCTTCCTCGTTGTATTTGCAGAGATGGGACGGAAACGGACTTTGTGTGGGAGGTTGATGTGAGAGCAGACTTGAAGAAGCTGACATCTGTGTGTTCTGCCCCCAGGTTCTGAAGAAAATTGCCAAGTACATTCAGGAACAGAATGAGAAGATCTACGCTCCCCAGGGCCTTCTCCTGACGGATCCCATTGAGAGAGGACTCAGAGTTGTATCCACCTTGAGGTCTTAGACTCTTTTTGAAATTGGCCTGAGGGACAGAGACGGACATCTTCTCTCACCATGGCACATGCGTAGGAATTAATTCACCCCTGATCAGATGAAGGTTGTGGCTCGTGCTTCAAAATATCTAGTCTGTAACCTACAAAGCAGTCTTTGCTCTGAATTTAGTCAGATAAAATTTCTGCCCGTTTAGAAGGTCATGCGGAAATAGAGCATGTGACAAATGCTGCTTGGCCGTCTTTTACAATGATGCTTTTCATAAGCCGAGTATCTTTATACCCGTCTTGTGGTTTTAAACCCTGTTTGGAAGACTGGCTGGTAGAATTCCTCTTATCTGAACAACTGTGAGAACTTGTAGAACTAATTTACATAGAAAATGTCGGTCTTGGCTGACTCAGAATTGTTGCCGTTATTTCTGCACCCCCACCAGAACCTGCCTGAGTGGTGAGGTAGTTCTCCTGGGTTTTGTTCTCAGTTACAACATGAGCTCCCTACGAGCTGTGCTCTGGAGTTCGGAGCCCGCTACAGGTGATTTGGCATTCCAGCTAGCATCGTTCTTGGTGGTTGCGGAGGCATCTCGTAACTGTAATTGGGGAAGCAGAAGTAATACGTTTCATCTGTTGAGAATTCTGAAGTTGAAGCCCTTTTGAAATGCATAGGCGCGTAGTGTGTGGTGAGCTGTCATCCTAATGAATTGCAGTTGTTTGGATTCATCTGAATATTTGCCCAAATAGCTTACAGCTGGCAGTTATGTAGTTCCAGTACCCTCATACTGTTTCCTAGAAGTTACTAGAAAGAAGTGACTAGACTTTGGTGAATAGAAATGTAAAAGGTAACTGAGCAGGGGAAAAGGCTACAGTAAAATTTGGCTTAATGTACAAACAACCCGTGTGAATGTTGGCAGCCTCAGAGCAATATGATACACTGAGGCTAAGTGAACGCTCATTAAAAGGCAAGTCAGGATGCAAAACCAGAAATCATGTGGGATGTTTAGAAATTTAGCAACACTTCTCATCTAACAGCTGATGTGATCAAAGGCTCTGCTAGCTAGGTTTTTGTCATTTGTCAGTTGTCTTCCTTTTCCTGTAGCACGTTTTCTTAACAGCCGTGCTGTGCAGATTGAAATCACCATTTATGAAGACAGAGGTATGAGCAGTGGAAGATAAAACCATGGACCCCAAGGTAAATATTAACTTTGCATTACATGTCAAATCTATAACCGGCTTCTGTGCATTCAGAAGACGTAAACTTTCCCCTCCCCTGCCGAGACAGAATGTTTATCCAACCGCTGCATGTAATCATAAGGCTCTTTAAATAAATCTTCTGTGTGGATGAAATCTTTAAATCCCAGCGGAAGATGTAAAAATATCAATACTTGGCAGCGTGCTCCTGAATGGTAATGCATTTCAGATGATGCCAGATTTCACATTGATGAAATCCAGATTTTAATTATGTAAACGTATAATCTTAAATCTGATTTCTGCTGTACTGTGTCAGAAATCATTATCTCACAGTTTGGATAGACCCACGAATTCTGATTCTGCTCAGGTTTCCCTCCTGTAAGTGAAGCAGCTCAGGACTTTAGGCTTAAGTTTGAACTCAGTCACTTACTGGTTCATCAGCTGTCTTGGGCCCTGGAATGACTCTTGTGCTAATGGCATGCGATGACAGGGGAGCCCATACAGTCCACAGCGTGCGAGATCCCCAGCAAGTCTCACAAGCTAAGAGAGTCAAGCTAGGTCAGTACATGGGTGGAAGACATTCAAGAAAAATCCCTTTGCTGTTAGGTGTGGCATGGGTAGCTTAGTCACTGCTGCTTTTCCTTCTGAATCAGTGCTGAGCCAATGCTGCAGCCTGGGGCTTAGGGTCTTCTCCGCTGAAGCTTCCATCTTTAAAGCAGTTTCTAAAATTGAAGCCTAAAGACTTGGGGTGCATTAAGGATCCTCTAATGCTTTCCATAGGAGTCGGGGTACTGGGATTACGCTTCTGGCAGAACCCCAGACTGAGTCATTCTGTTCTCCCTTCCCTTTGTTTCCATTTTGCTTTCAGCCTGATGAAGTATTCACTTCCACTGCTCGGCTACAGCTGCCTTCCACTCCAGAGGTGGCTGAATTCACCTGCCATTTCCCTCTTGAGTCTAAAATGAAGTCGTGGCACCTCATATTTGTAAATTTCTTGGGCGCAGGGCACACGATGGGCCAGCAAATAAGCTGCTTTGTGCCTTAGTAGGAACACTGCAAACAAAAACAAAAAAATCAGGTTGTACACAGCCTGGCATATCAACAAAGGGGAGAAATGCCACAGACCTCCCCTGGGCTTTGCTAGGTGCCTGTAGAACTGCCTCTTGGTAATTACTTGGTCATGACTAATCCAGATGTACCGTCTCTCTGACTCAGCCAGGACGAGAGTTTTCTGGATGGAAAGGCATGAGACTCTTGCTGCTGAACATGTATTGCTGACAAGTTCTGCACTATCAAAATACTGTAACAGTTGATTCCACTTCTGATTAGAACGTCCTATCTGACTTCTCTGGCTATTAGCAGTCAGGAACTCGATCAAGTTCATGGCTTGTGCTTGCTGCCATTGGAACAAGGTTGTGTTTTATCAGTTGCAGCTGCATCTACTTGGCACAGCCCTTTTGTCATGACTCATTTCATGGCGATTACTGCAAAGTGGAATGTTTTTCCGAGATGGTGCGGGTTTTGAGCGCACTCACACATGAGCCTGCTCTATCCATGTTCAAACAACTGTGAACCTTCTCATACGGGAAAAGATTTACATTGGGAACTTCTGGATAGTTTCATGAATTGCAAATATTTTGGTTCAGCACCACTTTGTTTTCAAAGCTGTAGGCAGACCAGGAGCAAGCTCCACACAGAGTGGGGCCTAAGCAGGGGTCTGCCTTCCCAAGTGCAAGCCCTGCACCTGAAGCCTGCAGACTGTCACAGACAGCCTGTTTACGCTGGCCGGGAAGCTGGTCTGGGTTACATACACAGTTTAGAGAGAGAATCCATAACCGTGGGAGACTAGAGCTCTGCTAGGAAGAGGGGGCATCTCTAGGCTACATGCTAGGCCTGTGCAAAGACATCTTGTGTGGTTCTCTGCAGTGCTGGCTCCTAACTTGCTCCAATTCTCTTTGTTTTCCAGCCCCCGGCTCAGCAGTGGACTTGCCGCATCAGAGCGTTCCCCTACCTCCTCTCTAGAGCATCATTCCTCTCTGCTGCCAGACCTGTGGTGCCATCTACTTACCAAGACTAACCTTCTAAACTTCTGGCTGGTCAGCATCCATTTTGTGGCCTGTGGCAAGCTTTAAGCAGTGGGATCATCTTGTTCGTTTCCATGGACAAGGAATGGGCAAAGTAAAGCTGTTGCTCTTCAGCAAGTGAACTGGGCAGTTCAGCCCAGTGGGAAGCAGCTGTTTCCCTCCCCACCAGTTAAATCTTCCGACACATCAGGCTGCAAGTCTGACGTCAGGGAGTCTGTGCCAGAAACAAGGCCCGCACTCCAGTGCAGGGCAGAGCAGCCTGCAATACACTCACTGCACACAGTGCCTCTGCCTAGCAGGAAGTGACTCGAGGCACAGAGCAGTCTCAGGTTCCTGAGCTGATGCTCACCGGGAATTTAATGCAGAAAGGTTTTTCTAATGATTTAGTTGTTTTTCCTAACCCCCAATAGCTGGTATTGTTACTGGGTGCTTTGCTGGTGCCCTGGGAATCTACTGCTGTCACTGGAGTTCTCCACGCTCGCGGGAAGAGACAGTCTTGCTCGTTCCCTTCAACTGTGTCAGTACAATAAAATGGATGCTGAACCAATACATGTAGCCATCCCTACTCCTCCCCTGAAGGTTAATATGTAAAATGTAATGAACTGTTTTGTTTCTCTATGGATTTATTATATATAATTTATAGCAAAATGTTGATTTGATGGATTACTCAATAGTGTATAAGTTGGTTTCTTAACTCCTGCTGCTGGCAAACTGCTGAAGAGCAGAGCTGTGCAGTATGTTGTATTTCCCATGAATTAACATTCCTCAGCAATACCTGCTACGCTACCTTGGGCATCTTCTGAGTAAAACTCCCAGCAAACAAAATTGGCCTAATATTTTCTGTTGTCTCCCTCTCCTGTATAACACGAGATCTTTACTTAAGCTGGGTTAAACTAGCACGGCCCCCCTGGTTGGAGAGCCACTGTCCATTGTGGGACTTGTAGAACAAGACAACTGCTGCAACTAGGTGGAGTGTCGAGTTTTCAGTGATACTGTAGGTGCTAATCCTGGAGTGGAGATTCCAGGCTTCCTGTTCAACCACTTCTTTCTTTCTTTCCCCCTCCTCTTTGAGATCTGTTTCCTGTTTTAATTGTACAGAAGACTTTTTCTTTGTCTCTCTGAACTGTAAAAGTGCATTTGCCTTTTGCACCTGTTGCAATAATTTTGCAGAATTATTAATGGATTAGTAAAATTTTCTTATACTGTGTCTGTGTCCTGTTTGGTAGCACTGGCCTGAATAAAAGTACTGATTTCCTCTAAAAAAAAGTGATGGCTGGTAACCAACTCTAAGCCATGTGTAAGTGCACACCTTGCTCTGTTTCTGCTACAATGACTGATGCAGTAGGGTTGGGTTTTATGCTCTTTGTTGGAGCTGGGGAGGGAGGGGTGTGCTTGTGTGCATCAGCAACAACCCTGATGAAAAACAGGGGAAGCCCTCGCACTGAAGGGGTCCTAAATCTGAGCCAGAGTATTTACAGGCTGGGGCTCTCCATAAGAGCTAATATTTCAGTTTGGAAAGGAGCCATTCATGAAGGGGGGAGGTTCCTCCCCTACACACACATCCTAGTGTGCAGTCCCTCCCCACAAAGGGGAATGCAGAGGAGGAAACAAGACTAGCAGCAATAGCAGTCAACTCCCTGAGTGGGCTGGGAGCTAACAAAATCTCCCATCCAATTGCTCTTTTTTTTTTTTTTGAATCCTAGAAAGGCCTGGAAGGGACCGATAAGACCATCAAGTCCAGTCCCCTGCCATGGGCAGGACATAATTGGGCTCGAACCAACACAAGAAGGTATTTGTCCAGCCTCCTCTTAAAGACCAGCAGAGCCGGCGACTGCACCACCCCTGCTGGAAGCCTGTTCAGAGGCTAGAGATTTTAAGTGACCCAAGCAAGGTGCAAACACTGAGAGCAGGTTAGAGCTGGCCTGGGTGGCGCGCAGCACTGCTGGAAGAGGTGGAGCGCCCCACCAGGAGGGTGTTTGTGCCCGAGAGCTTGCAAAAAACTTCTCTCCCGCTCGTCAGTAGGTGTAATACAAGAGATTATATCTACCCCCAAAAAACTACCCCCTCCTCCACGTTTCCCTTCCACTGGGCACCCCAAAGGAGAGGGTCCTGCTGCGGCCCCGGCCCTTGCTCCCTTGGGAAATGCTGGAGAGGACGGCGGGGCCCATGCCGAGGGTGTCTCGGCCCGCCCCACACCCAAGGATGCGCACAGGGCAGCCCCTTAAAGCGAGCCACGGACCCGTGCAGCCGATCGCGGTCTGTCCGTGCCCCTGCCCCGTGCCTCCGCCCCTGTGCAGCTGCGTGCGCGTGCATGTGCATGTGCACATACCCGCTCTCCCCCACCCCGGCCCGGTGGTTGCGCGGCAGCGGGAGGCGACGCCCTTTTAAGCGCTGGAGGAAGCCGCGCGCGGGTCCGGGGGCGGGGCTCATGCATATGCACGATGCAAGCCCCGCCCCCTTCACGTCACGCTAGACGTCAGCAGCAGTTGGCGGGAGTTCGGTCGCCGGGATGGCGGAGAGCCCTGACTCCCCCGATCCCGCCGGGCACGACTCGGACGGCGGCAGCGAGGAGCTGGTGCTCACCCCGGCCCAGCTCATCCGCAGCCTGGAGCAGGTCGGCGGGGCGGGGCGGGGGGCGGACGCCGAGGTTACCTCCGGGCCGGGCGGGAGCGGTGCCAACCCGGGAGCCGGCTCCGCGCTCACCCCTGCCCCCCGCCAGGCCTGGCTGAACGAGAAATTTGCCCCGGAGCTGCTGGAGAGCAAAGCGGAGGTGGTGGAGTGCGTGATGGAGCAGCTGGAGCACATGGTAGGTGGCAGCCTGCGGAAGTCGCCCAGTGCTCCACTGTTGTGGGCGCTGCCTTGCAGGGTCCGCACCACTGCTGGCCCCGGTTCCTTCGTGCAGAGTGGGTGCAAGTGTCCCGCGGGCAGGGAGAATGGCCCACCCGCGCTCCTGGCTGCTGCCTGTGCCACTGGACTTGGGGCCTGCGCTCGGATTCCTGTGCCGGGTCCCTGTGCAGGGAGGGACATGGTGCCTCGTACCCCGGAGCCACGTGGCCTGCCCTTTCCTGCGGTTACGCCTTGTGCTGTGCCCGCAGGAGTCCAACCTGAAGCGAGTCAAGGGCGTGGACCTGAAGGTTGGCATCCACCGCATGGAGATAGAGCGCATCCGCTACGTGCTCAGCAGCTACCTGCGCTGCCGCCTGGGGAAGGTAACGCCAGGAGGGCAGGGAGCAGGGGCTCCCCCCTTCCCGGTGCTCTGTGCTGGGGAGAGGCACCCCGAGGCTGGGGGCTCAGTGCTGCTGCGAGCGGGCCTGGGCAGCGACGGGTCCTGTCAGCGGGCTCCAGACTCTGGGCTGGGGGAGCTTTGACGGTGGCAGCTGACGGTCTTCCTCCCCTGGCAGATCGAGAAGTTCTTCCCCCATGTCCTGGAAAAGGAGAAGTCCCGCGCGGACGGGGATCCTTCCATCCTATCCCCGGAGGAGTTTGCCTTTGCCAAGGAGTGAGTTCAGCAAGGGCAGGCAAGCCTGGCACACACCTCCTCCCCATGGCATGCACCATACCTCTTCCTAGAGCAGCCTCGGCACCCACGAGTCCCCTGGGGCCCACCAGACTGCAGAGAGGCCGCAGCCTGGACGGCTTGCCACCTCCCTCTGGCGTGAGGCAGCGGGAGCCTTGCCTAGGCCCAGGGCTTTGAGCAAAGCCAGTGGCCCAGAGGGGTTGGGGAGGCAGCATCACTTCTGCTGCTCACTGCCCTGTGCCACGGCAGAGCCCCTGGCAGTGGGAAGGGAGGAGGCTGTGCCCACTGCAGCAGGTACACCGAGGGGGACTGCATCATGGGGCACTGCCCAGTTGGGGCAGCCAGGCTGCTGCTCCTGACCCCATGGGCACGGCTGGGCCCAGGGATACATGGTGCTGGCTGCTGGCACCTTGGGCCGGTTGTGCCAGGGGTGGAGGTGCCCATGAGCCACTCGTTGCAGGTACATGGCGAACACGGAGAGCTACCTGAAGAGCGTGGCACTGAAGCACATGCCGCCCAACCTGCAGAAGGTGGATCTCCTCCAGGCTGGTACGGGCGCGTGTTGGTGACCTCGGAGGTTGCCAACACCCAGGGGCCGGGGCTCCGGGGAGATGCTCATGTCCGAGCACCGCCCTGCTGGTGCGTGCTTGGCACGGGGCTGCCACCCCAGCATCTCTCCTGTGCCATGGACGTGCGCGAGGGGAACACCGCTAAACCCCCTGCCAGCCTGCCTGGCATCTTGTGGGGGGAAAGCACTGCTCGGAGGGGCCAATAGGGGCGGGCTGGCCCCTCAGCGCCCTGCTTCCCACGCAGTTCCCAAGCCTAACCTGGACTCCTTCGTGTTCCTGCGCGTGCTGGAGCGGCAGGAGAACATCTTGGTGGAGCCCGAGACTGACGAGCAGAGGTGGGGCGGGTCAGGGGCTCGGGGCATCCCAGTAGGCACAGCCAGGCCAGACCCCTGCCACCCCAGCGGGCGCCACCGCCTGCTGCATGCTCCGTGGCCGTAGGCCTCTGACCAGGTGTCTGCCCTGCAGAGAGTACACCATCGACCTGGAGGAGGGCTCCCAGCACCTGATCCGCTACAAGACCATCGCGCCCCTCGTGGCCTCAGGCGCCGTGCAGCTCATCTAGGGCAGCAGCGAGCCACAGCGCTGGGGGGGCACCCAGGGGGCCCTGCAGGGGGCCGAGGGACCGCTGGGCACCATGCCCTCGCCTGCACATCATCATTACTATTATTATCATTATTATTGTTATTATTTGTTTTGTTTTGCAAACACCGAGTTAATTTAATAAAAAACGTCACCTCAGCGCTGGCCGAGCTCCGCTTCGTTT